ACCCGACTTGTTTTACGATATTTTGGCCGTTATACTAAATAAAACAAAGATAATCTGAAATTAACCCCATATCCAGGCAATAATACCCGAAATGGACACTACCCAGACAATTTGACTAACAAATTTCCTTAATTGATCAGACCTATATATAAAAAAGCTGTAGACATTTCTACATTAAGTTATTGTTAAGAATTGGCAACCACGTGTATCAGACATTTCATTAACAAATATTCCTGTAAATGCATTCTCTGACAGTTTTACTTACCAGGAAAACATTGTCAGTTACAGATGGCCTTGGGTTCAACAGTTGACATTGTATATCAGATGGTCTTGTCTTCTTATCCTTTGAGGATATTCACTTAAAATAATGATGTGTCATATCAAATAAAATGGGGTTTAACGTCCTACATCGACTGGGTTAATGAATATACAAGTCAGAATTCTAATTGTATTCCAGAGAATTGTGACCTGTATATTCCAGTTCAATTACTAAATGCCATTGAAACAATGGGCTAATGAAGACAGCAGCGTGATATGAATCACTTGTAGACTACACTATTGTGAAATGTAATGAAATGACGTTTAACATCCTACTGTTCTGTTCCGAACTGGGCTAATGAAGACGGACATACGTCATACAGTGTGCTATGAGGGAAATTGTGCCCGGGCAGCGGCACTACGGTCTACTCTTATATCGAATTCCAACTGTCAAGGGAGCTTTTACGTGCACCCCAATGTATACATGGGACCTCGGTTTTTTCGTCCTATCCTAACAACTAGACAGCTGTCTTTGTCAGGCCCTTCGTCCTGCATCACTAACAAGGGGGAACCACGCCCGGAAAATCTGGATGAAATGTCTCGGCCAATGCAGTGATCGAACATCCGCGAAAATTTATTGGTAGGCCGGGACATTATCTAGCTTTGGTATTTTGATTTGATTTTGTTTTCTTAATTTAATGTTAAATAATCAATCTGAGTACATATTGTTAGAGTGGATTAAGCCGTGAGAAATTTGATATTTTAGCGAAAAATACAAATGACAGATCATTACTTTAAAGCCATTAATAACACAGAGGGCAGTAGAATATCAGTATTACTACCGTATCATTAAAAGATAACAGAACAACGCTTTAATCAGATTGACAACATTTAGATTAATGTGTTGTTAAGATGTATTATCATTCTAGGCGCAATTTCACGTAAATAAACTGATAGCTTTCGATTAAGTGAGAGCATAGGTTCATTGGAGTCTCTGATTTTCCTTTGAGCGATTTTAAATCCCTTGCGAACTACGACATCATGGAAGTTGAATCCACGTTCAATATGGACCAGTATCTACAAATATATGATGTTTCTATACATTCAGAATCCCCCGAAGACGATATTGATGGGTCTCCTTTGAATCCATGCTGGGCTGCTATCTACTGCCGATATTCGTGGAAGAAGAGCCCCGGGGAAGAATGATCTAAGTCACTTTTTCAATGAACCCCAGTTAATGGCGCCATCTGGTAGCAAATTGTATAAGCTTTCTGTAGAACAATCAATTTCAGGAAAAACGATCGGAGTCACATCGAACTAAGGCCCTTCTGAAATGGCCTTCCGGACAAATAACAGCAGTCCATCGTATTTATTTACCCTCATTTGGCTGAAAAGTGAAATCAGTTGTTAAACATCATTTTGAAGTTGTAATTAAACCCACTCGTTGTTCTGTTCGCGTCAAGCATTCTCGTCCAAAAGTCTGTTTTGCCTTTTATGCGAAAAGAAAAAAATGTGACTTAGATCGTTCTTCCCTTGGACTATTCACATACTGTCTGAGAAATGCAAATTTCTATTTGCCACTTTAACGTAGCCCGTAAGGATTGTAATTGTAAAATATTTAATTTTGTCCACGGCCTTCTCCTGTGTCTCTTAAGAATTATCCCATTATTTTTCTTGTAAAATGTTTCTTCACAGAATTTAAATACATTGTTATGGAAAACTTCAATGATGTTAACTAGAAAACCTCACACAAACAAATTATACTTTACAAAAGAATCGATATTTTACGACTCTTTATTCCAATATATGTTAAATATTCCATTTTTGTAAAACATGGCTTAAAAGAAAAGTCTTATCCTGTTTCTCTTAAGGAAAACCCCATTTTTTCTCGTAAAATGTTTCTTCACAGAATTTAAATACATTGTTATGGAAAACTCCAATTATTTTAACAGGAAAACCTCACACAAAACAAATTATATTTTCAAAAAGATCGACATTCCTTATTATTTCTGAAATTCATATTTTTATGACAAATCGTTTATGGGTGGGGGGACATGACGTATTGCAGAAACACCCGACTTTATCATTGTATTATTTTAGGGTCAGTGGGTGCGTTGTCGAATAGTTAAACGGGTGTTTAATATTATAAACTGCAAGGGGATCACGGTGGCTAAGTGGGTAGGACGCTGGCTCGCTAGTCTGGTGGTCGGGTGTTCGATCCCCGCATTGGCCGAGAAAGTTCATCCAGATTTTCCGGCGTGGTTCCCCCTTGTCAGTGATGCAGGACGGGGGGCCTGACAAGTACAAAATTTCCCTCATAGCACACTGTATGGCGTATGTCCGTCTTCATTAGCCCAGTTCGGAGCAGAACAGTAGAACGTTAAACCCCATTTCATTTATTAACTGCAAAGTGTGCACCTATGATATCAGTCTGTTACACAGTGGTAGTGCCTAAGTCTTCAGCACATATTTACTGCGGATTAGTTTTGGTATTGACATTGTTACAATTGTCTGGAAATAAATTACACGTACTTGTCACTGACAATATTTACCGTGAATTTATTAGTAGATGTTACAGCTGTCTGGAATAAAGTTACTTGCATTTATTAAACTTTTATACATATGTCTAAAAATAAGTTACTTGTCACCAACAATGTTTTCCTTCCATTTTGACATTTAGTTTTAAATTTATACTTTATATTGATAAAAAGAATGACGGAGGCGTAGAAATTCGATTAGGGGTTGATATATCTTGTAGACCTTAATTTAAACAAACATAACACTATTTTAGTGTATGGCTTGTTTCACTGCGTCGTTTCAACACGATTTTACAGTTCTGTATCAAGCATATATCAGAAAAAATAAATAAAATTAAATTTAAAATCTTCGAGCGTCATTTGAGGGATTTGAATCCCTCAGAAAATACAATATTATGAAAGTTGGGTCTTTAAAAGGAATATCAGTCCAGATATGGTCCAGTTACAACACTATTAAAGCTATATTTTGTCGGGGGGGGGGGGGTCGCGTGGGTAAGTGGGTAAGACGCTGGATAGTTAGCCTGGAGGTCGGGTGTTCGATCCCTGCATTAGCCGAGAAAGTTCATCCAGATTTTCCGGCGTGGTTCCCCCTTGTCAGGGATGCAGGACGGAGGGTCTGACAAGGACAGCTGTCTAGTCCTTCGGATGAGACGAAAAACCGAGGTCCCGTGTATACATTGGAATGCACGTAAAAGATCCCTTGGCAGTTGGAATTCGATATAAGAGTAGGCGATAGTGCCGCTGCCCGGGCAAAATTTCCCTCATAGCACACTGTATCTTCATTAGCCCAGCATTGGAGCAGAACAATAGGACGTTAAACCTCATTTCATTTCATTTTATATGTTGTCGAAATTCTAGCCGGTTTATCGTCCTAATTGATGATGTGTTGTGTTAATAGCGCATATGAGCAGACTACCGTCATCGAGACCCGTCGCATCTGTTTCATTATTCAGAGCATAGTTTGCGGAGGTGTGGGGTGAGGGGGGGGGGGGTATTGAAAAATGACTTTAACCTCTTATTCTGTATTCAATATAAACTTTTATACATTGTTCAAGCACCAAAAATGGTTTGAATCCTATCGATTACGAGAGCCGCGGTGAGTCGTGAAGTAAGACGTTAGCTCGCTAGTCTGGAGTTGTCGTGTTCGATCTCGATGTTGGCAGTGAAAGTTCATTGGGATTTTCTGGTGTGTTTGCCCCTTGATGGGGGTGTCGGCCGGGGAGCCCGACACGGATAGTGTCTAATCGTTCGGATGTGCACGTAAAAGAACTCGAAGCACACTGCATGGAATTGTGAGACGTTTAGGGAAGCTCAATTTTTCAAGAATATCGAAGACATACTTTTTTTAATAAAATAATTTCATTCAAATTCTATAATTTATTTGTTTTTAAAGAATTTCTGTATTTGTTTAATTCAACAATATTTTGGCGACTAAATAACCTTTCGCAGTTGCCAAGGGAATTGTTAAACGTTGAGGACAGCCCGATTTTTCATCACCAACAAGAATATCGAAGACATATTGCCGTCTTTTTCAAATAAGACAATTTGCCTATTATTAACAATACGACTGTTTATAAGACGGTTGTGTATATTTCCCGTGTTCTACACTCCATGTGTCATTGACGTCAAAATAAACATTGATTTTAAAATCAATTAAATGTCATTTTAATTATCAGTATACCGTCATTGACGACAACTACAAACTATACTTCTGGCGACAAATATAATTTTTTTTGATCATACGTCACGTTTAAGTATTTATATTTCACCAAAACTATGGGATAATTATATCCAAGTCGAAAAAAAGGCCCGGGGATCTTTGATTAAAGTTTGCAACAGACGTCATGGCGTCTTATTAGTAATAGGTTAATTCTTGTATAAATGACGCCTGCAATTATTAATTACTTTGAACAAGGTGATATGGGCAGATTAATGGCCGTTGTTCGTGATTATAAGCCGTTATTCTGATACAAACGGGGAACAAAAGACTTCTGGTCCATGCTGATCAATTTCTCAATTAATGTCTAGCAAATAGGCGCTAAAAGACAGCAGTACAAAAGTAATACCGATACACCGTAACTGCCTGATTTGATCATCGATTAAGTTTACGCTAAGCATGCTATTGGCTGACACAGATGATCAGTGAGGAGTCTATGATCAGATACGCCCTGTGAATCACGACTATATATACACGTTCCACGCGTCTTGTGTTTACTATGAAACTCAGTGATCAGTGAACGAAGTAAGAATACTAGTGACGTTACTCTTATCTTAACTTCTTAAAGGCGAGTTCTTAAACCAGCTCTTGACTACAATGGGCGACGTGTTAGACGCTCGGAGAAGGGCTTTGGTGGACCAAATTCGACAACAGTGTTTAAAAAAGGGATGCGGGGGTATAAAGCAACTGTCGACAATGTTTCGTAGAATGGACTATGATTTTTCTAAGTGTATTTGCTATCGAGAGTTAAATATGGGTGTGAAAGCTTACGGACTAAATATATCAGATGAGGACCTTCATTTGGTGTTCGACTTATTAGACAGGGATAAAAATGGTTCTATTGACTTCTGTGAATTTATGCAGCACCTCCGACCACCTATGACGGAACAAAGAATTCGAGTGATAAACGAAGCCTTTGATAAACTTGATGTGGATAAAAATGGTCAAATTGAAGTGGATGATCTCAGAGGTGAAATATTTATCCTTTTTTTATTTAAGTAAAACAAAAATTAATTGGTTAGTATTATAGGAATATTAATAATAATAAATCGATTTCTTATTCATGAAAATTTGATCGAGAGTTAAGATATAACCAGATTGGCAACAGCTGACGATGACATATGTGTTGACTTGCTAGTGTTTATAAATAATATGATGAGTTAATTTTAGAACCAGGCCATAGGAAAGGGAATGTAGTCGGCACATCGTTAAAGGGCCCCATACACGTCTTTTTGATTTTGCTTACGTCGGCATGGCCAGTATTCGTGCCGTAGAGACCCCGATCCGATCCCTGATGTCCTGGTCATGGAGAGGTGGGGGATGGGGGCAAATAGTATATACAATTATACATCTTAACGAAACATTATCGTTGCTTGTACGTGTTGGAGGCCCTACCGGAAACACTCCAATGTACGTGTTGCATTGCCTACCCGGAAAACCCTAATGTACATGTACACGTAGTGCATGGCCTACTCGAAACACCCCAATGTACACATGGTGCTTGACCTACCCGAAACCTCCAAATGTACTTGGTGTATGGCCTACCCGAAACACCCCAATGTACAAGTAGTGCATGGCCTGCTCGAAACACCCCAATGTACACACGGCGCATGGCCTACCCGAAACACCCCAATGTACATGGTGCATGGCCTACCCGAAACACCCCAATGTACAAGTAGTGCATGGCCTACTCGAAACACCCTAATGTACACATGGTGCATGACCTACCCGAAAACCCCCAATGTACACGGTACATAGCCTACTCGAAACAGCTCCAATGTAAAGTATTCTTTAAACTCACAGACATGAATAATTTCAACAAAATCATTAACCACAATAACAAAACGATCATTTTTAATGGATTTTTAGGTAGGTACAGAAAACAAAAATCTGTAATCCAATATTGTGTAGGTTATGAAACTTACAACACTCTACAGTTTAAAAGAACTATCGGTATAATTAAGGTTTTTAAAACTTCAATGGAATTGTAAATGTCATGTTTTAAATAGTTTATGAGAGTTGGAATGGTTTAAAGACGGTTGTCTAGAAACGTCTATTGGTAGTCGATGTATTTAATTACTACCATCTGTTTTTCAGCTTGACAATAACAAATGAAAGTGAATTGTCAGTCTGTAGATAGGATATAGGTATATCGTGTATATCACATGAAAACGTGTTGAGGTATATCTATCTACCTATATGATATAGACTCAATGTACATCTGTCGTTTCAATGTTTACAATTAGCACGGATAGCAAAACATTTGCATTCATAAAACGATTTTAAGCGTTTTACATGTATTTATAGAAATAAGTAAGCTGTAGGGTTAACTCCATTTAGTTATGAAATGTCTGTCTTTACTAGTCCAGTAGGTTCAGAAATCTAGGATGCTAATCCCCATTTCATTCGGTTATGAAATTCACTTATAGGGCCAAATGAATAATTAGTTTGGCACTAACCTATGATGAATTTCTGATTCCATTTACCAAATTTTTAAATATACGTTTGCTTTCATAAAACGATTTAAGCGTTTTACATGTATTTATAGAAATAAGTAAGCTAGAGGGTTAACTCCATTTAGTTGTGGAATGTCTGTCTTTACCAGCCCAGTAGGTGCAAAATCTAGGATGTTAAACCCCATTTCATTCGGTTATGAGATTCTCTGAATTGTTTACAATTAGTATGGATAGAAAACAATTTGCTTTCATAAAACGATTTAAAGCGTTTTAACATATATTTATAGAAATAAGTAAGGATTAACTCCGTTTAGTTATGGAATGTCTGTCTTTACCATCCCATTAGGTGCAAATCCCATTTCATTCGGTTATGAGATTATCTTACAGGGCCAAATGAATATTTAGTTTGGCACTAACGTATGATGAATGTCTGATTCCATTTACCAAATTTTTAATATACGTATAATATTATAATATACAGTAGGAAGGCGGGAAGAAGAAGTATCACCTCATGTCCACCTTTTTAATTTCTGTGTGTTCGATCCCAATTTGTGTCTAGTCTTTCGGATGGGACGAAAAACAGATGCCATGCAAACGTTAGCTTGCACGCTAAAAGCACTCGGCAGTTGGAAGTCGAAATAAAAATAGGCCATAGCACCGCTGTCGAGGCAATATTTCCCTCGTAGAACACTGCATGGCGTCTGTCCGTCTTCATTATCCCGGTGGGTGCAAAAAAGTGGGACGTTACACCACGTTTTAATTGTTCCTAAATCTGTCAGGGGTAAGGTAACCGAGTAGTCATCGACGCAAGTGTTGGGGGCTTGATCCCATGATTTTACTTGTCAGGGTGTAGGATTTCCAGCCAAAATTCTTGAGTTTTGTCAAGGTTATCAAGTTTTCCCCAATCGATAAATAAATAAAAACCACATGTTAGCCCTGAAAGAAGGTGCAGATCACAAACCTAACTTCGTCAGGCTCGAAACAAGCTAATGTGTGTTAAGAGAAAGTTAAGACTCTACCGCCTTCTTGATAAAAATATTTAATGGCTACATGCTTTAATTAAACAACGTATTGGACCAAAGCTTTGATACCTTGATCCAAATAACGACTGTTTTAATTAACATTATAAAGTTAAAGATACATTATGTAAGATTTAAAAAAAGAGCTGGTCGTTCACAAATAGATAATGCAAAATGAATATATTGAAACTTTCATTAAAATTACTTTATTCTGAGCCAAGATGTGTGCACTGATTGTTATCACTGTACTAATAGTTCGAAGCTGAATCTCGCTTCACCATTTTTAGATTAAATCATTAAATGATTGAACCGTTCTAATCTACTTAAAATCGGACCTATCCGATGTCATCGAGACTTGATTATGGTCTTGCCAGTTAATAAATGTCTAATTAACAGTTTATATAACATTTCAGACCTACAGAAAAACCTGTAATAGACAGATTTAGCTTGTGCACAATATATGTTTAATAGGTGTAATAGATAGTGTTCAACAGTTTATTTCACAATCATGAGTTCCGGGTGATAACAGACACGGCGCTAATTTTCATTGTCGAAAACCCTATATTTTGGGAAGTATTTCTCCAACGGAAATGTTTTTTTTAGTCTTTGTGTGTATGAAAGATGTAAAACGGATTAGAATCACGTAACAAAATAGTATACTAATTTTTGAATATGGTGGCCATTCATGACAGAAATCTATTCTCGTATAAAAAAAAGTTCTCTTTGCGCAGAATTAATAATGAACATAGGTGCAATATAGTATTCTATAGTTTATTATTCAATTAGAATATACCATTACGAAGGTCCAACCTCGTGGTTTTTCCTCCGGGTCCCCCGGTTTCCTCCAACTGCTAAAGACCCTATGCGCAAGCGAATTACTGAAATAAAGTTGAACCATATGTTAGTCTCTGAAATGACCTAGTTTGTGCCGAGTGGAGGTTACACACACACTCTCTCTCTCCTCCCCTCTCTCTCTCCCTCTCTTAGCTATTATAGCGAGAACAGCCAACTCTTTATCTAATCTCCCATAATGCCCCTTTAAAGTAATCATGCTCCATTCGCATTTTTGACTAAAATATCAAATTTTTCTTAGTGCTTAATCCACGCTAATATGTACTCACACTGAATATTTAACATAATCAAAATATACAAATTTCGATTAAAGCATACCCTTCACGACTTGAATAATGTCCATATTTATCGTTCTATAGCGTCACTTGCTTTAAACTAATGGTTCTCAACCTTTTTTGTGTCAATGACACACCTTGAAAACATAGCGGCACACCTGTATAAAGATTTGAATTTTGCAAAATATAAACATGACAAGTCATAGATTGCATACAATCGTATGTGTCATAGACACATGGAATTACTCAAACTAGATAAAGAAAAACACAGCTATGAACTTACTTTATTGCAGTGCTTCGAATTGCATCAGTCAAATAGCTAGCTTCTTTAGTGAGAAATTTTCATACACACTATTCAAAATTTCGCGGCATACTTAAGAAGATCTCGCACACTTGTTAAGAATCACTGCTTTAAACTAACGTTATTTTGGTAATCAACCAATTTAAGAATTTGATTTTTCAAACTTTGTATATGAGAAATGGGAAGGTCTGTAAGAGATTCAACAAGTTTGTAGATGACCATAATTCAATATGGTTTAATTCCAAGCAAAGGATCAGAAAAGTAGGCCGTTAAACTTCATCCCACCCTTCGTTCATTCATTCATTCATTCATTCATTCATTCCATCCTTCATCCCGCCCTTCATACATTCATTCGTTTATTCAAATGAAGGACAGAGTTGTTTTTTTTTACATGGAATGATATCCCACGCTTGATTTATAATGTTAAATATCACTATCGATAGAGTACACGCTTGGTTTACATAGCTTCATTTTATTCCGAGTCACCTGTCACTGAAATAATCTCCATAGTCGAAAGGTGACTGTTTGTGCTAGCGAAAATTTGAAAAAGCTGGACGGTGTTTCATTTATTCTTCATTTCTTATACTAAAATCAGTCCAGGGGGCTTCAATTTTGTTGGCCTGTCACAAAATGGCAAAAAATAGTGCCATTTCATTCCACTGCTGAAGACTTGCATATAAGTAAGTTACACAAGCAATTTTGTTTGTTTGTTCGCTACAGGAAACCAAATGGTTGAATTTATCTATTTTAATATGACTTCACAATAAATAGTTTTTTTTAGAAGAAATTTAATGGTGCTATTTACAGCATTTGACAGTTAATGATTAGTGACAATTTTGTCGGGCATGACGAAATGTCCGAGAAAGAAAATTGCTTGATGAGTAAAGTAAAGAAGGCGAGTCTAAAATAACTTCATAATAACCACTTTTTGTTACATTTAATTGATGCAGTATTTTAAATGATGAAATAGACACTTAATGATTATTGCGTTATTATTGATCTTACTACAAGTGGAGATAATCTCAAGCCAAGCAATACCGTGAAACACAGCAAGTTGATTGAATATC